CTCTAGGGCAGCCGTGGGCAAACTACGGCCCGCGGGCTGGATACGGCCCGTTTGAAATGGATAAAACTAAAAAAAAAAAAAAAAAACCCGTACCCTTTTATGTAATGATGTTTACTTTGAATTTATATTAGCTCACACAAACACTCCATCCATGCTTTTGTTCCGGCCCTCCGGTCCAGTTTAAGAACCCATTGTGGCCCTCGAGTCAAAAAGTTTGCCCACCCCTGGCCTAGATGCTTCCCTCCACCAAAATATTCTCCCGACACTTCTCCATTCAGCTCCGGGTGCACCTGAGGATTAACAACAAATTCTCTATCTTCACAACAATCCTCTATCTTCACTTCAACATCTGTCCTGTCACACACTGACACTTCTTTTTGTTTTGTTTTTTTGTTGCTCCTCACCTGAGGATATTCTTCCACTGCTTTTTAGAGAGTGGAAGAGAGGGGAGTGACAGAGAGAGACAAACATTGATGTGAGAGAGACACATCGATTGGTTGCCTTCTGTGTACACCCTGACCAGGGCCAGGGTTCAAGCCTGCAACCTAGGTACATGCCCTTGACTGGAATCTAACCCACAGTCCAACACTCTACCCACTGGGCCAAATCAGCCAAGGTGACACTTCATTATTTTACACTTAAATATACACTGCAAGGCTATGAAATATTCAGGAAGCATGTCGACTGCCTCCCATCCTGGGCCCACGGTGCAGTGCTCATCAATCATGGCAATCTTTTTCACGGGTCTTTGGTGTAATTTCAGAATCGTTCTGAGACAGCACTCTAGACAGCCACTTCTAATAAGCTGAAGTTGGTACAAAAGGCAGAAGCTGCTTGCTGGATAGCAGTAGCATCTTCTCTGTTTCATGTATGTTATGATAAACTCCGTGAGAGTAGGCATCATGTTTATGTTACTTCTGCTCCCCCTAAGCCCACCCCTCATGCTTATGTGCGAACCTCATCTCCCAATTATGTCGGCCCAGTACAAACTCAGCTGATCAACCTCCACACTTTGTTCCTAAGGGATGGGAATGAAAGGGTGGGAAGGATCTAATCCAGTCAAATACTGACTGAGTACTTATACTGACAGCCCACAGTGCAGAGCTCTGTGGGCTGTCAGTATAAGATATAAATGAATTCAACAATAACAAAAAAGCAAAGGTTATAATTTTTTCCAAACTCCTGGAGAAAGGGATGTGTGGCACATCGACTGGTTTATTGACTGGAATCACAAGGAGGCGCCTTTTATCCCCTAAAGTACTTACAACCAAGTAAGAGAGTACAAAGGGTCAAGCCCTGGTCAGGGCGCAGCTCAGGCCGAGACACAGTGTCTGCCCATCAGAAGCTTTGATCTACTTGGGGAGACAGGACCCTCATGCGTATGATAGATTCCCAGACAGCAACAAAATGCTAATTTTGCAGTCTATACAAAACGAGCAATTGCTTTAGACAATGGAAATACCAGAGGACACTAGAGAGAAAATGTCACAGCAGACTCAGGTGAGAGAATTGAGGCACGGAATCAGAAAGGAGCACAGAATATAGTGGGAGGAAGACAGGGTGGGAAGGAGGAGAGGGTTTGGCTGAGGTAGATGATACAAAGGAGAAAAGTCTGTGCACCATAATCCTTCTTTGATCTCTTTTTCCCACTGCAGCTATAAGCCTATAAAGCATGTGCTGGGTGCATTATAAATATAATCTCATTTAATCCTCTAAGACCTGAGTAGAAGGCCTTATTATCCCCATTTTATAAATGAAGAAACTGAGGCTGAGGAAAATAATACAATTTTCCCTATAGAATTTATCAGAACTGGAATATGAACTTGGGTCTGTCTAACTCCAAAGTTAAGCTCTATCCACTCACTATACTATGCTTTGATTTCAAAACTGTAAAGCACTAGACAGATATATGGTATTTCGATTATTGCTGTTATTCACTTTCTCTTCAGCTTGAAGGAACAGGTCATGGATGTAGATGGTGTCTTTTCCCCTCTTCACTGTAGCTTGAGCCTAAGAACTGTGTAATACTGTTGGGAGTTCCACTGTATGGACTATGAGTCCATACAAAATGACCTAGGAATAGAGACTTCTGCAGAGCAGTATCACTAGAGGGAAATAGTAAAACACAACGAGAAGAAAAACCACATCGCAGACCAAGCTTATCTATGGATGACCAAGGCAGATTCTTCTGCTGGGCCTGTGGGCGGCATATGGAAACAATGTTCTCCTGGGAAGTAAAGGAGTGACGGCACTGGGAGAGGAAGATGACAGTCTGGAAAAGCTGGCAAGGAGCTAAGCATGGACAAACCCCCAAAAGGTCCCCGGGAAGTTACAGAACTTGTTAATTCAAGGGCACTCAAACTAGTTTGTACCCCCACCCCCTTCTCCTTCCTTTTAGTTGGGACTAAGGATTTGGTTCTGGTATGGCTTGTGGGGTTGGTGAGCCAAGGTTTAGCTTGAGCCCAACTGGGAGATGGGTTGCATATAGGTAAATGGAGCATAGAACTAAACATGGGGAGGACACTGGGAGCCAGGCTTCTTACTGCCATAGAAGGCAGTTCAGACATGTAAAGGAGGAAGCTAAAAAAATCCCTGTGGTTAGGTTAGAATTGGAGGTATCAGCATAAACACACAGGTTATAACACAGAAATGGGTATAAAAATAGATACAGAGGCACCTGGCCAGTGTGGCTTAATTGTTTGGAGCGTCGTCCTGAACACCAAAAGGTTGTGGGTTCGAATTCCAGTCAGGGCACATACCTGAGTTGTGGGTTCGGTCCCTGGTTGGGGTGCATACAAGAGGCAAACAATTGATGTTTCTCTCTCTCTCTCCCTTCCTCTCTCTAAAATCAATAAACATATTCTTGGGTGAGGATTAAAAAAATAGATATAGAGAACTGTACACATACATATAGTTTTTAGCTACATGGACCTACAAGCATGACACCCAAGCATAATGACCATATCTGATGCCAAAAACTTAGTTTCCAAATATCATTCCTACCAAAGGAAGAAGGGATCCTAA